CCTTATTACTCCAGAGTGTTTTATCTTCAGTATATCCTCAGCGTGTGGCGACTGATAACACTAACACTATTCTTCTTTGGCTACCTCAACACATAAGAGGTTTCTGCTCATCAAACACACACAAGCCACGCTGAAGAAATATAATGAACACAGAGCAAGTGGAAGACCACGCAAGATATGGAGTGACAAGAGCAGGATCTACCTAACAGAAATGAACATAAATTTGTACAATGCATTGAAAAAAGCGCACAAACGATCCTTCTATCTTCCCCTTAACACTTCAATGAGTTAAATGGTGGAAGAGAAGAAGAAAAAGAATTACACAGAAGATGTTCTGCAGCTTTGTGACCCAAGCTATATTGGAAGAAATCAACTATGAAACGAGTGGTTCCACTCACCTCTGTTGTCTTTAGCAGAGCTTGCACGGTTTTCATCACATTGTTCAGTTCTTTTCTCTTCGACTTGATCTGTCTCCGAAGCTTTTCCAGCTGGTCCTTCTATATCAGCGTGTACAGATCAATTCAGTTACAAAATACTCCAACTGAGATAAAAAAATACATCAACATCGCAAACAAAAACAACAACATCGCAAACTACAACACTGCAAACAACAAAACGCAGACACAAGTACAGGTTTTTAGTGACAGATTTCGCCAAAAACTAATATTCGGCTTTTGCATATGTGAGACTCTTCTTCTTAATCTTCTTCTTCTTCTTCTTCTTCCTCCCTTCCTCCTCGTTTTCCTCCTCCTATCTCCTTCTTCTTCTGTCCTTCCATCTTCCAATGATACATCGACCACTGACCAGCTCTCGATACGGCTATGTCCTCTTGTTTACGATTAGCTGGACTTTGCAGCTAGTTTTCCAACAGTGACAGTCAGTTTGACACCAACCCTCCTTAATCGCCTCTTACGACCTGCATGATAAATTGACAATATCTGAGTATTAATTACTTTCCACACTGACTCTGATAACTCTGGTACCGGGTCAATATTAGGTCAACTAAATTTACTTTCTTGGAGAATATGGGTGACGGTACTTGGAGGCTCATTCAACTTGAGGTCCCACCTGCCC